AGGTAGCCTCCTCATCAAGGTAACCCTTCCAACGTACGAGATACTCGACGTGGGGAGGGTTGTCGTCGGTGACTCGGCGACCAACGATGTCTGAAACGAGGAACTCCTCGTGGCCGTCCACCATGATGGGTGGAGGGCGCTCGTATGGTCGTCCAGCGAAACGCTCAGACGGTCTGCGGTAAGGACGCAGTAACGAGACGTGGTAGACATCATGCACACGAGCCTGGCGTAGGTAGTGGGGCAGCTTCACACGAAAGCTGACCGGGCTAGATGTCGTATCAGAACCGACGGCCTGGAGGATGCGGCATGGGCCAAAGAAGCGACACCGAAACTTGCGAAGCGTGTCCGCTTCGAGCTGTAAGTGGCGGGCGTCGATAAGCACATCATCACCGACCTTGAATGCGTGATCCATCCTCGATCGGTTCGCATGTGCTGCCATGCGAGTCTGGGAAGCGGCTATGTGCTCATGTGCGGTCTTCATAATCGACGTCATGTGTGCAACCCAATCATCCAGCGCGGGACAACTCGTGTCGGGGTGCGTCTGGGACGGTCGAAGGAAGTCCGCGGGAACACGCGGGTGATAGCCGAGGTCGCAATAGTAAGGCGACATCCCCGTGGCTGGCGAGACGGCGTGGTTGTAGCCGTGGCTGGCGAGACGGCGTGGTTGTAGCCGTGGCTGGCGAGACGGCGTGGTTGTAGGCTATCTCCGCGTGGGCAAGATGGAGATCCCACTGCTGGTCGTCACGAACAATCTTTCGGAGAATATCCCCGAGAGTCCTGTTCGTGATCTCGGTCTGACCATCAGTCTGAGGATAGTAAGACGAGGAGAAGCGGAGCTGAGTGCCGTACACCTCGTGGAGCCGTCGCCAGAATCGGCTGGTAAAGCGCGGGTCACAGTCAGATATGATGCTCAGAGGTAAGTCGTGGTCATGCACGACTCGGTCAAATACGATGTCGGCGACCTCACGTGCATTGATGGCATAGCGGCACGGAACAAAGCGTGCACGCTTCGTGAAGCGGTCGACGACGACCAGGATAGCATCATGATCGCGGGGAGTCGGAGGTCGAAGAGGACCGATAAGGTCCATCGAGATGGACTGCCAACGACCCTCAGGGATAGGAAGAGGCTGGAGCAAACCACTGTTCACCTCCTGACAGGTGGGACACTCTGCGATGTAGTCCTTCACAAAGTCCTTGCGCTTCGGCCAGACGTACAGGCGGCTCACCCGAGCCAACGTCTTGTGGAAGCCCAAATGACCGGCAGCTGCCTGGTCATGGAACTCTGCTACTGCTCGGACACGTAGCTGTCCAGTGGAGGGAACACAAATACGGGGCTCTCTCRTGCCCTGTGAACCGTGCCAGTACACAAGACCGTTGTCCCCGAGAGAGTAGTTCGGGACGGTCTTGCCACTCCGAAGGGTCGCGTGGATGTCGCGATAGTCGGGGCAGTGGCGGTACTGAGTGCGAAACTCGTCGATCACCGAGTGGTGGACGGTGCTTACCGAGATGGAAGAGAGCTGGATGTGCTCCTGGTCGTGGTCAGGGCACCGGGATAGGGCATCTGCGACCCGATTAGTCTCACCCTTGATGTGCTCAGTGGTGAAACTAAACTCGGATAGATCGCGCCACCAGCGAGCCTGTCGAGGAGTGAGCTTCGGCTTTGTCAGAAAAGCCTGGACAACAGAGTTGTCCGTGCACACCGTGAATGGTGCCCC